TGACTCCGCATTTTTCGCTCCAGATCTCGGCTCCGTACATCATCGCCGGCTGTATTGCTCCCTCTAGGATTGTTACGAGCGCCGGTGCTCGTATGCCCCACGTTAATTTTGCGGCTGCGGCGATCCTGTTTGTGACGTATCGTGTCTTGAAGGTGACGCGTTGTATGTGTTCTTTAAAGTTGAGTCGGTTGTGTATGTGGATCCCCAGGTACTTTATGCTGTCCCGACAACGAATCCAGCCTCCGCCGAGGCGGAATGACGGTCCCCTCTGCTGCGGTCTTTTTCCAAAAAAGACGACGTCCGACTTCTCCGCGGCGAACTTGAGGTTGTTGGTGCGTGCCCACCCGTCCAGCGCCGCCAACGCGTTGTTGCCTTTGCGCTTTAGGTCCTTGTACTGTCGCGATCTGACGACCAGCATCGTGTCGTCGGCGTATCCGGTCATCGTGATCCCCTCCGGCAGCTGTACCTCGAAGATGCCGTCGTATATGGCCTTCCATAGGACGGGGCCGGAGCAGCTTCCCTGCGGACATCCTCTCTGCACTTCTCTCTCTACCGTCTCGTTTGCTAGCGTCACCGCTGCCAGCCGGTCCCTGAAGAACGATGCCGAGAGAGCGACCAGGCTTGGTGGCACCCCTTTTTCTCTTGAGTCTGTGCAGGGACTCCCGGCGGCCAGGCGGTGTCGAATGCGGACCGGATGTCTAACGAAATCGCGACGCAATAGTCGCCGGCGCACAGTGGTCCGGTTTTTAAAAAAGGTGGACTTAGGAACGAAAGTGACAATTTCGCTCGGAAAATAGCTATTTGTGTATTAAGAGCGCAAAATGATATATTGTCGATTGAAAGAGACAGTTGACGCGCGACGAAGGAGCGCGGCAATCTCTTGAAATCGACAATCAATTTGCGCTCGAATTACACACAAGATTTTTTCTACAATCGAGCAGTTCACATATTTCCAGAAATTTAAATTTTTCACTCAAATCATATTAATCTTATGCCCAAATGAAAGATGTCATTTACTCGTTGTCATTGGATACTCTGAGCAATGCATATTTGATTTATAGTTAATAATTGGGAGAGCGAGCGTTTTTTCTATTTTGTCGCTTATAAGCGACAAAGTGACATTCCTCGAAAAAGATGACGTTTGCGTTGTCAAATACGAGCGCAAATGCCTACTTTGGATATCGATTGTAGAAAAAAATTTTTTCCTATGGAAAATTCAATTCTGATTAACATTTGTTCAGTACATTTTTCATATAAATGCGTCGTTCACACATAAAAAAATATTGAAGATAAATATGGATGGGGGGAAAACAATTATATTAATTTTCTCCGTCCAGTATCAAAGTATAGCAGTCAAACCTTATGTTCTTGTAAGAACATATAGTCCTTAACACCACGACATAAAAACTTCTTGCGTATTCTTGCGGCCTTGGTGCCTACATGACTTGAAATAGGTATTTAAAATTTTACTTGTGGTTTTTTGTATACTTTTCACAAGTGTTTCCATGCAAAATAGCCTTACAATGTTATAGCCAACCAACGAATTTTGTTCGGTATTACATTCTTACAACGTGTGACCGTATAGGTATGTTTGTTTTTAATACGCCAATAAATGATTGCTTCGTTCGTGAAAATTCTTTTTAAATATGTTATTATTTGAAACACAAAAGTAACATTATTTTAACAAAAAAAATTAATTCCGGTGATAAATAAACCTATACAACGAAATATCGAAGGATCCTCAGTATTACAATCACTTTTTCAATTACCATTAATTTTAATCTTACAAACTACATTTTAACAAAAATGCTACAAATTCATATGTTGGGCATTGAGATAATTCTCTTAATCTTGTTCTCAATTAACTTAGTCTTTTTCCCAACGACCCCATTGCAAGAATAACAAATTTGACATGTTTGGATCAAAATCCATGTGGCCTCAGAAAAAGAATTTAACATCTTTGAATCACACACATGCGGTTATCAAATGTACATGTGAGCATCAAGATAATGCGTTTGAAAGCTTGGACAACTTGAAATTTATGTGTAATGAATAATTTTGGGTATATTTTTCTCTCAAACTTTTGATCTAGACCACAAAGAAGAGATATATTGAATTGTTACACCTCTAAGAGTCATAGGGAATGAAATATGTTAATTTCTATTATTATGAGTTCGCAGTTTTTCCTGTTCCCGATTCACTCGAAGTCCTATAACTTTTGTTCCTGTTTAACCAGCTTCCTGAAAATCAATAGCGTCCGTTCTTGATGTCCAAAGTACCCGCACATTTAATTTCAACACAATCGGCCACTTTTAAAAAGTGTTATAGCGCACACGGGCGGACGGACGAACGACAATACAAAACTATAAAGGATCTGAAGATCCTTAACCGTACCGCGCGCGATGCTTCGGTGTCTAAAGGTCGGTGAAGGGGTATTTTGGAAGCTATAGATCTAGGAGTATGCTGCCAGATTAGTATAGTATTTTATTATTGTAAATCTGTTTCTATTGCTTCTGTAGCTTCCTCAGGCAACAACAGAAGTTCTATAGCTTCTGGGATAAGATTTAATTTCTTCGCATAGCTGTATTTTGGTCGAATGTGAGACAGGTATGGATCAGAGCTTATTAAAAAATTATGGAGCAAGTCTTCATTTGTCTTCACCCTGTTGAATTTTCTTGTTTGAAATTCACGAACCCGTCTGAAGTCTTTATTTCTGGCTTCTCCCGCTTCTTCCGAAAGAATGCCAATTGGTAACAAGCCAAAATAATTACAAATGTCTGCACCATGTACAAGTAGTTTATGCACACTAGCTGGCATATAGAACCAAGGATAGAGATGAACCATAAACTCAGCGGTCTGTCTGCAGTAAATTCGAAATTTTTCAATTTTGATGGCACACCCAGATGAAATTACTTGAAGAATATCTGCAAACCGCTTCAATAGATTTTGGTCAAGATTGGTAATCTCTGCAGACTTTTCGTACTCTCTAAAAAATCTTCTAGCCGTGTTACCGTCGTTTGTGGTTCCAAACCCTTGCTTGACCACATCCACAAGTAGCCCCATCTGCTGTTTGAATTTCTGTTGTATCAATTGTTTCTTCGCCGCTTTCAGTTCTTTGTTCAAACCTCGTGCACTCCACAACTTGAAATCCATGTTATATGAAATGTGTAGAATACACTCCATGCAACGAATCCACATATGGAAAGAAGAAAGTCCATATTTGTAAACATTTTCCTGAGCAGGTCTTGAAAACACTTCTGAGAGCTTGTTCATTTCAGTGGGTTTAGCAAGACAAATATTACAAATAGATGCAGTAGATGTGTCTGTAATAATAGTGGACACTTTCCCATCGATCATTGTCATGTGAAGCTCGTGACTATCTCAATCGCATTCCATTTTGTAGGTATCAAATTCTCTATTTCTTGATTCAAAGCAGCTTCTTCTTGCTTAATGTATTCTGCAGTCTCCTTACAAAATTCAAACTTAATGGGCCTGCAATAATGAGTTGAGGAAGGCTTTGGATTCTCCCATATGATGGAGGATTTGGAAACCAACTTCAGTGGCATTAAGCTAGCCATAAAAATACTTGAATCACATAAATACCCATTTTCGCTTCGTTGCTTTTACGTGCTTTGTGAAGATGCTCCGTCGAATCCCCATTTACTTATTAATTTCAAGCCTTCAGATGATGATGATTCCACTTTACTATCAACAACTTGAAGAATCCTTTGGACAGTCAAATCCAACAGTGCTTGTAATTTCACTCTTGCTCCCCTTTCAATGATCTCCAAATCTTGTGGATAACATCTCTTTTTAGCTTCAAGAAGATCGTGATACGAAGGCAAAACTGGAATTTCATAATCTGACAGAGCCTGCCTTAAGCACAAGTATTTCCGTTTGGACAAACTCAGTGAAGTATACAATGCCAGTGCACGATCTTCATCAAAAGTCGTTTTTTGACTCTTGTTAAACAAAACGTTCCGAACCACTTTAACCTTTTATGATTTTTTGTTAGGTGTTCTACAACACATGTAAAATCATTTTTCTGCTCCATCTTTAACCTCGTCACTAATGCAAAGGTAAGTTCTTCTATGGAATAATCCAAAAGGGTTTACGGAAGTTTCGCTCCCAACATTTTGCCCCTCACATTTCGCCCACAGTATTTCGCCCCCGGGTATGATTCGCCCCCATCAGTTTTGCCCTCGCACAGTTGACCCCCGGGAAATTTCGCCCCCACGCATTTAGCCCCCGAATGTTTCACCCCTACTTGTTACTTGCTCATAATAAATTTAAAAATAGTAATTTTAATCGAACTTTTTTAGCTTCCTGGCTCGAGTTAGGTGGCTATTGCGATCGCCATTTTTTGGACATAAAAATTTTACCAAATGTAGACGTTTTAAATCATTTTGAGCAACTTTTAAAGAATAAAATTTTGTCCGTGTGTTGTATCTAAGTATGTACGTACGTTGGCGATTTTCGACAGATTTTGTTCAAATTTTGGATATGTAGCGTATATTAGGCATACGGAAACGAAAAATTACGAGCCGGATTTTCGAAAAAAAATTTTGGAGCGCCACAACGGCATTGAACATAGAAAATAGAAACCTAAAATTTTTATTAAGTTATTCGAAAGATCTATTTTTCTGTGTAAACCCTATAAAAATTGTGCTAGGTTTTATTACAAAAAAAAACTGAGAAAAAAATGTCAAATTTCAAAAATTCGTTTTCGGCAAAATTAGACATGTGGTGACGTCACGGAATGCCTATAGATACCCCTAAATCGGGCAGAAAACGACCCTTCTATAAAAAGAGTCAACAGAAATATAATGTAAGTTCCTGGAATAAGTATTGCTGACTAGCAATAATGCGAAATAAATATAATTTAGCACGAACCGCGATTTTTGGAGTTAGGAAGCTGTTCTGTCAAGAATGTTGCACATTTATTTTTATTTTTTAAGCATGATGTAGGTACCTAAGTAAATCAAAAGAAACACAATGTTAGGATGTTAGGTAGGATTGAATAAGTTTGTGAATGATACAATGAATAACGTTAATAATGTATAATTAAGAACATAATACAATAAGATTGAATATGGACCTGTGCAAGACATCCACGGATGGTGATTAAAATTCAAAATTGTACGCTATACCCCTGAGGTAATCTATCAAATTTCGATTGCCTAAGTCCTCCACAATACGCAGTACCCTTGCTGAAATAACCGTTTATTTCTTGTTTCGCGCAGTGGGGGCATTTCCGGCCAAGATTTGCACCATTTCAAAGTTGTGGAGACCTTGCTGTCGTTTCAGGCAGTTAATGAAGCGGTAGATGTTAGGAAAAAGTGAACCACAGGTCTCTTGAAAGCTACGGTGCCAACCCTCGACGTCATTGTTGGTGCGATGTTGACCATTCAGTGTCCGTTGATAAACGTTCCAAAATTGAATTGGAAACAAGGGGGCCTGACGTCCTCTTCGGTTAATTCGACCAATGTAAGTGTCCTCGAAATAGTTGGCAATGGGTAGTGCTTCCTGAGGAAAGTCCGGATCGTCCAAGAGATCTTCAAATGATTGTGTAACCCTGTCAGGGGGAAGAAAAGCAAGAGAGGGTATCATTCGAATCCAACGGGAAAATTCGTGGTCATTCTGATAGCGCGCTGTTAGTCCTTCATTTTGAACTTTTCGCCAAACAGACTGTGATAGGTGGAAGAAGCAGCCCGTCTTTTCGATGTTTGGAAATTCCTCATCAAACGCCTGAATCGCAGCCTGCTCGAAATCAGTCATTAATCTTCGTGGCTGAAGACCTGGCTGTAAAACCTTAATATGCTGTAGCATTCGTTGATATGTTGCTTTGGTCTTGTTTGGCAGCAAGGCGTACAGCGCCGGAATAACGAGGCCGCCGTGCACTACGTGAATTGTGTAGAGTTGCTGGAATAAAGCTGGCGCAGAAGAAAACGTGCCGTCGGCGAACCATTCCTCACTTCTAAATAATAAGTGGAGATTTTGTCTTGTTCCAAACATCAATATTCGGTTGGCTTCAATCCCTGAAAAAAGGCGGCATCAATAATTGAAGTACAGAATGTCAAAAAATATCTACTGCAAAGGATTTTCAGCGATATTGTACACGGAAGTTTAGTAATATCTAAAAGCTACATGGAGAAACCAATTTTGATACTTCCGGTTTCCGGAAGTTGCCGGAAACAGCCCTTTCCGGTGCCAACTTTGTAATTTTAAATGGAAAGGGGGATCAAGTGGAGTGTCCTTAGAAAGATCTTTTTAAAAGAAACAACTTTTGCTTAAAACGTTTTCGTATATTTTTTATCGTTTATGAACATTTGCAAGTTTAACGCGTCTGACCGACGTTCTCCGGTAGGTAATGTGCCCATGAACAAAAGAATTTCTTGTAGGTCATGCTTCATTTTAAGTCAGGAAGACATTTCGAAAATCTTTAAAGGTATATTGTTCATAAGCGATAAAAAAATACACGAAAACGTTTCAAGCAAAAGTTGTTTATTTTAAAAACACCTTTTTAGCGACAACCCAATTGACCTCCCTTACCATATAAAATTACAAAGTCGACTATGGCTATTTCCGTTAACTTCCGGAAACCGAAAATTTCAAAATTAGTTTCTCCATATAGCTTTTAGTTATTAATATTCCTTCCGTGTACTATATCGAAGAAAAACGGCTGGCACAGGTGGGCTAAAACACCCTGTATATATAGGTTAATTCAGAACTGTTTGATGCTTTGTTCTCGAGATATTTGTGCAAAAAGAAAACTAAAACCGCGTAAGGATACAGAATAACCCACGAGTTTTTTCCATCCCTTATTTTTTTGAGGTACACTATATCGGATATTTCAGGAAACAGAGCCATATTAGGTATTTAGCCAAAACATATTTTTTTATAAAAATTGAAAGAGAACTTACCCGAGTCCCACAGAAGAAATTGATGCAAAGTGCCGTCAATATTGATCTCCCGAAACTCCTGTGGAATGTTTAGTTGGTCAATGGTTTGAGGTAGTCTTGGCATGTTACCAACTTTTCTCATCGCACGAATGGACCTCTTCAAGGAATCTTTCCTAGGTAATAGTGCAGCAACGTTGGCGTGGGCCTCTGAAACGACCTCAGCGAGTATTTGTTGTGCGTCTCCTGGGTCGTCCTTGCTCTGGTGCACACTTCATTGACTAGTCGGACTGCTTCGGGTCTTGCAGCCTGCGCTGCATGATTATGAAGATTCACCACTTTGATGACTTCACCATTCATTCCTTCAGTCCATACGCGTCCTTTGCATGTTGACCGCTTTTCGCAAACCCAAATTGCATTAATGTTGTCCCTCGTCTTTTTAGAAAATAAATAGAGATGGTTTTCGTAAACTAACTTCTGTTTCCCACGCTTAGAAATAACTGAATTCATATTTAAACGGAGGCACTAGCAGAACTTCACCGTTAACTAACTGATTTGAACTGGCAAAGCAGATTCTTTGCAATGCAGAATACCCATCTTCGTAGCCATCAATAATGAATATTACCTAGGTACCTGTTTACACAAACAAGATCTTTTAATCCTACAGGTCATTTTGCTATTGTAATCACCTCTAGGTGGGTAGGTACCTGTTTAATGGCAATGCTTTTCTTCTATTATTGTGACCCTTCAGCTTACTAAAAATAGTTCCAACTGGCCGTTTACCTCACATAGATAATTAATCAAGGTTTGGAAATATTATTTCAGGATGCAATTCCAACATGCGGATAACTCCTTAAAAGTATAAAATAATAAATATAATATATAAAGTGATAAATAAAAGTATGTTTACCATACTCTTCCACGAAATTTTAAACGGATAAAACGCTTAACTTTAAGTTTATAACGTATCATTTCTATTGGTTTTACATATCTCGGGGAATGATCATGGATTATGCTTTCTTACCTTCATACCCATAACCAACCTAATATGAACTTAGATATTGAGATTTGGGGGGCGAAACATCCGGGGGTGAAATGTGTGGAGGAGAAACTTCCGAGGGGCGAAAGTTGCAGGGGCGAAAGTACCGGGGGCGAAATGCACCTGGGGGCGAAATGTGAGGGGCGAAATGCGAGGGGCGAAATGTGAGGGGCGAAACGTTGGGGGCGAACCTTCCGGATCCCGAATAGGAGTGTAACCTATTTCTTCAGTAACCTTCGTGGTGACGTAATATTTGTGGGAATTAAATAGAAGCCTCACATATTTTGAGTGGTTTTCGTTTCTTAACTTTACAACCATGGTTCGCCAATAAACTTCTGTGGTTGGTCAAATTCTGCTCTTTCTTTGCCGAGTCATCACTTTGGAAATCTTTTTTATTTAAGACTGCCTTCGATTCTTCTTTTTGACAAAGAAGAGGACAGTGTTTTCTTTGGCATTTGTTGCATTTTTCATTCGGCCGACATCTTCGTGCAATATGACCAAACTTCGTGCACAAATGACAAAAAGCAGATTCTGACAACCGCTGCTTTCTTTCTTTTTCGTAACGGATGATACCTAAGCTCTCTAATGCGCGTAACTGCGATTGCTTTCTTTAAATTTTATAGCAAATGTTACATTGACATTTTAATAGAAGTGAATCAGTAGGGTACATTGCTCTTTAACGGTGAGGGTAGATAACGTTATCACTTTAACCGCAAGGATAGATAAAGTGAAACAGATAATTATTCTAATGACATCTGTCTTATTTCAAATGGGACGCGAAGCACGACATAAAATGGCGTTCAAAACATATGACAATGCTGTTCCTATGGAAATGACCGCGACGGCAGAACCTAAGCTTGCTATTTTTGGCGTCTAAATTAAATTCAGAATTTTCAGAAACGTTACAATGATTTATATGGCTTCTGCCATAAAATAAAGTTTTGTATTGTACAAGACGATAACGGCAAACTAATTTGAGGTACTATGCGGTCAAATATGAGAGCTACGTGAGCGGCGCGACGTCTCGGTCATGGTAAAATAAACCATCAGGCGTATCAGCCTTTTATAGTTATTATATTCGATGTCTAAAATATTTAATTGTAATATTTCGTCCTTTTGCAGTCCAGGAAAGCGAACCTTCATCCAATGCCGCTCCAGCCAACCATCTAGATTGGAGGAAGGCAATCTTACAACACTTAGACGGTAACGCAACCATTTCCCTCGCTATGTGGTGTATCAATACTAATGTATTTCTTTAGTTGCTGATAATAACGGAGGAGGCTCGCCACTCTTATCGGTGCTGGTGAATGACCAGAATGAGAAACTCAAATCGGTGGTCGAAACACTACAACCTAGCGATCCCAACAGAAAAGTGGAAGTTACATCGTTTCTGCTTAACAGAAATACGGGCTCCGAACCCAAAGTAAATGAGAAGTTGCGTGCCTTCAAGCTCGTCGATGACAAAGAGGTGTTAAAGATGTTCAACCGCACTAGCGCCAGTGCCGCTCTCGATGCGATCGACACCGACCAAGACGCCATTCGTACTGCTAATATTAAAGCAGGCAAACACAATGTCCGACTGTCACTCAAGAGGAAGTCTTTTATCTTCGGTCGAAGTCAGCAAGCCAACACCGCATTGGTATTGCTTCTGGCAACTGGTCGTTTAGACGCTGCTAGTGAATTACTTAAGCTTTACGCTGCCTCCTGTTCACACTAAAGAATGCATTACGAAAATGGAAATAATAACATTATGTAATTACAATATTGTAATGTAACAATAAATTTTGTACTTTCCAACCGCTGCGCGCTGTATGGTTGAAATATCTTATGTGTGTGGTGTGGTTTTGATTTTTGCTGAACCTTGCCTCAATGGTAGCAAAAAATAGTTTTCTTAAAACCTGGTGGAATAAAAGAAATACACATTCCTTGTTTATTCTTTAAACACAAACCTTAAAATTTACTCAAAATTAAAGAATTGCAAAAGTTAGGCATTCCACAACAACCCTCGGGGTGAGAACTGGCTGTTCATACGCAAAATGCCAGCCTACAGATGAGTTGAGCGATCAACCACAGCTATTCCCGTCCGTCTCAAAAAGGATTAGTAATATGATTCAACCAAAAAACCTAAATGCAATTCAATACTTCCCACTAAAGTAAATGGTCAAATATGTAAATTAAACTTTGTATGCGTAATCAAAATGTAACAACAATTGATCAAACATTTACACAAAAAATGATAAAGGTTTCAAATAATGAAGCGCCCTTGCAATAGACGTGATTGACGTTAGATGACAGCAGTTTCAAAAATAAATTAGACAATGCGTTCGTTACGGTTCAGCTTAAGATGGCCGGTAGAAGCGTTCGTGCTCTAGAGCAGTGTAGCACATTCTGGCGCCGTCACTTTGGCGCGGCGATCTTGTCACCAGGAAACTTTTACGCAAAGGCAGCTTGGAATTTTTCTTAATGCAACAATGAAATTCCCAAATGGTTAGATGCTCCAAAAGATAATACCTGGGTTTTGCGCTAAAGTGTTTACTAATACACCTTTTTCTGACCTTGCCTTGCACGGTTGCGACAGAGCATCTGAGATAATCCTACACGTGCTTTGTTTTTGTTAGGAAATATATTGGATACCTCAAGCTTAAGTATGATCTTTGCTGATTGTTTACAGTTTTCCAATCTCAATATCGTGCATCCTGTAGAACTCATTGTTTACAGTATCGGGATCATTCCAAAAAACAACTGTCAAGTGCTTTCGATTAGATTGCACTGATTTATTGCGACGCATTTGCCGTAAACAAGTAGATAACATTCTCAGGAGAAATGAAAATGTCCAACACGCGAAGGGAAATCAAAGTGGTTAGAATTGAGATACACTTGAGGGTTATACTGGGATAGTCGTATATAGTTCCAAAACATTTAAATAAATAAGATACGAACAATAAAATTTTAATCTTGAGTGGATTGCAAAAAATGGCAAAGTACATGAAAACAAGTTGATAAACAACAGATTTTCAAGAGCCTTCTAATGACTTTAGTCTTTAAAGCCGTACCAAAGGTTTCAAGAGTCAGCAAGAAACCTCAGAGATTTCTAGAGTCATCAGGAGTGTTTTGGAGTCCTTTACACGTTCATAAATGGACGAATATTCTTTAGAAGCCCTTTTTTTGAGTAAATATTTTGTTATGGAAACCGTCGTTTTCTGGGTTACTATTAAAAAAGTGTGGCATTCAAAAGGGATGGTCATAGTTCTGTATTTTCGCTATATATTGTTAAAAATTTATAATGTTGAACTATTGATGGAGGGATTGAACGTGCTTGATGAAGAAATTTTTACGTTATTTCTTGAGGAGGAAGCGCCCACCGAAACAGATTTGGTAGGAGCAGCGTGACAGGTACCAAAAGAGGTATTCCATCTTGAAATTGGAATACAATGGATACCTGAACGATAATTATGACGTCGTGGAAGACGACTCCTGCGCAGCGTCCAGCACTAGATAAGCGAAGTTTCAACTGTTTGCTATACAGTTTAAAGCTTTCGATGGCCCCAGAGATCAGGTTAAAAACGTAATGCAGTTCCTGAAAAACGAAGTGAAAAGTGAACAACGAATCACGCTGTCGTCAGAGGGTTTCTTGTTCAAAACTAACGGCGCAGAAATGATCATTTAAAGCTTTGCAGAACAACCTATGGGAAAACCACTGCCTCTCAAATTCAAAAAGATTTTCCTACGGAAAACGGTATAATAAGCATAAAATATGGTGCAATATCCAAAATGTACATACAGGGTGTTACATGACCGTATGTAAAAAAAATCGGGTGATAGAGGGAATCAAGACAAGAACTATTTCCAAATAAACCGAGGGTCCAACGTGTTTCGTTTGGGAGCCACCCCCAAAGAAGTGGTGAAATTTGGATTTCTTCTTTAATGTTTTTCTCAGCAACCATAAGAGTCTTCTCATCGATGGGTCACACACTGGCTGAGCAACACTTCAAAGACTTTCGAGGATGTATATGTATGTATTTTGTACGTATTTTGGAACTCCGTATCTATTAACACCCGGGCGACTTTGAATCCTTCCAGTCCGCTTATTATGATTTTCAAGGTCTGGAAAAACGCACGACTCCCTGTCCTATTTGTACAGGGGGATTCAGATGGAGTAGAGTGTGGTGACCCCTTTTCTTTCATAGTGTTATTAGCCCGAAGTTCGGAACAGGTTAATGTTACATGCGAT